CATGGTATCATAAAGTATACCTCGTCCAACACTTCGCAGAGTAAATACATTGGATAATGACCAAAGGTTATCAGAAAGATAATCTTTCCTTCACCAGGAATGTTACCCTAAACCAATGCGATCCTATTATCCAGTCTTTAGCGATCCTGTTATTCCATTAGACATCTGTCTTTGTTATGGCTAACAAAATTTAGCAAATTTGAATATTCTGGACTTTTTCTCACGAATACTCAAAATCACTGTCATATTTAATTGTTTTAATCAGGAGAAAGAGAGAGATTTAGCTGTTGCTTCTATTAAACTTTATAGTATCATGACAAATGTAAATGATTACAATTTGCTATTGACATAACTATTGACCACCTCCCATCTAATGCACTGCTTATAGTTTATAAAGCTTATTAACGAGCAGTCTGAACCTGATGGAGGTCAAATATTTACTGATTTACTCTGCATAATATAATCAGCAGAGAACTTGAAATGCATCAAACACTTGATAAACCGAAGAAGTTTTTTACACACTTTGTTTTCTTCGATCCAGAAAAGTAGACTTTATGAATGTCGTTAATTATTTTATGTTGAATTATCATGAATAAACAATGAAGTTTGTATCGCTTTAAATTAGGTTGAATCGTTTGCACCTCTAATAAATTATTGTGTGCATAAACATTGGGAGAAAATGAAGCCATACTCTACCGTGGAAAACCAAGAAAAATGTGACCTCTAGATATAGCATTGCCATCATATGTTTCAAAAAACGATCTCACTTGTCTTCTGCATGAATCATGCAACTTTTATGTGCAAGGGAATTCGCACTTTGCCATAAGATTCTTGTTATAACGGCCTGTTTGATATTCTTCAGAGCCATGGTTTTTGTGGTAAGAACCTCAAGATGGTGTATGACTGTGCACAAACTATTTAAAGGTTTTGCTTGTGATGCTAGCGTGTAAACAAGTAAGCATATGTCAATGGACATTTCGTTGCCGGTCCCAGTTTTCTTACGAATTGATTTAGTTGTGCGTTTAAACATTTTGTCATATGCTTGTTCTTATTTACGTCAGAATAGGCCTGTCAACGTTACACACGAAAATGGCATCTGATACAAAGCTGCTCATAATTTTTGCCTCTAATATGCATTTTGCCTTTTTGGTTGCACAGACGGGCTTCTGGTTCAACTCATCAAATGTCAGGCTGTTAATAAAAAAAGCAAGGCCCGAGCAAGGCTATTCTTTTGATATCTAGCAACCTGACTAGATCATCGATTCCGTGTCAGTTATCACTTAGTTCGTTGCTTCTGGTGCAAGTCTGTTTGTGTTTAGTTGCAATCACCCTCTTGTTTTTCATTCTCGAGAAACTTTCTCTAATTTCTAAGAAAACAAGAAAAGACACAATGAATATGTTTCTTTTTTTTATCTAGTCATGAAGGGACATGTTACTATGAAATTTGGAACTTACACAGATGTTGATAAACATCCGGAACGTGATAACGGGCTTTAATTCGGCCTCTTTTTCAAAATGAGACAACCTCTGCCATTGGGAACTAATGGGTCGTTTTGTCACTCAAAAGCACTGCTCAAAAGAGGTCTCACCCGTTTATTGACTAGGAAGAAAAGGTTTGTAACTGCCACTGCTAGCTCGAGTTCTTCTTGAGAAACATAGTCTGAAGATTGAAAGAGACATAAAAGTGAGAGGCTGTAAGGTGTGTTGTGGCACAGGGAAACAGCTTGAATTTTGCTTTGTGTTAAATCAGGCAAAAGCGGTCGACCTTGTGGACAGCGGCAAAGTCAAGAAAATTTTTTGGAGAGGTGAACAGTGCTTTTTGCCGATTAAAAAGGGCGTGTCTCACTTTTAAAGGGTGTGGTCAAAAGATAAATATTCTTATATGCTGCTTTTAGGCGTTTTGTTTCAAAGTTCATACTTCAGTGCCATACTTCAGCTAAAACAGAAAAGTTAATACTATACAATTGTTGCAAAAAGGTCCCAGGGTGAGTTCAAAAATGGCTTCTTTTGCCCGGCAAAAATCCTCAATGTGCCGACGGACAAATTGTTGGTTGGGGAGTACTGCAACCCCGCCCCCCTTTGGTGACGCCACTGTTTGTGGAATTACAAGTTACGTAACATGTTCCAGGTCTGTCACTAAATAACATGTTTAAGAAAATTCAAAGTAATGAAATAAATGCAATGAAATAATGGCTATTAGTGAAAGACCTACATGTTCAAGTTTTCCTCTCGATGAAGGCGAATGAGTACTTTGCCGTATAAGTCCACCGAGAGTTTTTGCTTAATTCTGCTTCTTCGCCATGTCATGATATACACTATACAGAAGAGGCTTACAGGAAACTCAAATGAACTCCTTTTGTGCTATTTTTTATTTCAATTCTATTTTCATTTGATCCTTTTACATTCTGTGTGATCTATTTATCTCGTTAAAATGGAAAAACAGTCGTGAAAGTTGTGATTTATATTAAACATATAAATGCCAGCTGGTTGTTCCTCTGTATCATATCGATGATGACCTTTTTCACGTTTTTTTGAATAAAAATCTTGGCCTTTTCAATTTTCAATCATAGGTTATCCCCCTTAAGAAGTATATTTTATCATTTTTTGATTACTTTTATTACATCGATATAAAACCATTTCTCCTCTTCCCGGTATCTTTGAGATTCTTGACTTTTGTATTGTCAAAGTAATTAAACGTTTTTGACAACTGAGAGGTACATTTATTATACTGATCTACTCATGCATTAGATGGCAACGTTTTTTATATTGTCTTAAAGCTGGCAAATTCTACAGCAGCTATGTTCATCCTTGTTTTTAGTTTAAGAGCTGTTCTCAATTTCGATTGAACACCAGTTTTGAAAAACTTTTTGAAAATTTACGTTTTCTTAACCCAGAGACGGCTTTCCCAAAATGGATGGTATTAGTTTAAATCTTATCATGCTGAATTTTTTTAATACTTCAGATACCGAAAGATTAGTAGTGCCGTAATAGAATATTGCAGAAAATATCTCATAAACTGTAGCAAGAAGCAGATATTGTTATTTTTAGAAACTTACAAAGAAACACAGCCTCCTTTTCTTTTTTGTCGCTATCAGAAAAATGGGTAATGATATGGTATCTGAACAATAAGGTTCATATGAGGCAAATCAGTGATATGGCCAAGAACTTTGATTGCAAAGCTAACAATATACTAGATATGTTTTCAATATGATGGAAAAAGGCGAGGAATAGGGAAGGCAGATGAAGTTTACGATTAAACTACTTTTTTATTAAATCATTCTATTGCATATTTTCGCTGTCAATACTGATCTCAAACGTTATTTCAATCTGGAGATTACTACAGAGGCTTTGTAGACGAATAATAACATTTAAACATATGAAATTTCTGAATTGCAGCTGCTAACGTTTCAAGTGGAGGCACCTTGTTGTGTGGTGTAAAATTCTTAATTTGCTGTTGTATATCCTTAACATGGTATCTATGGCCTTAGCTGTTAGTATTCTTGGAAGACCCCCCTCCCCCCACATCCCCCCAAAACTTATGAGACTACTATGTTTTCAATATATGACCAAGTTTGTTTGTATTTTTCAAACAATGATGCTCCCAATAATACTTGTGACGTTATCAGCCTCGTATTTATGTTATGTTGGGCATCCGCCCGGTTTGTTATGTTATGTTATCGGTGAGAATACGAAATGGAGTGTTGAAGTTCGAATTCGGGTGTTCTTTCGTAGTTATATACTGGATAATCTTACAATACTATCCTTTCTACAGCACTGATGTTATCTCTTTGATTTGAAATATATAACAAAAATATGTATTTATCGTCTTTTTTATATAAGATGCGACTATGTGTTATTTCTGACTGAATTTATTTATGCAGTTTTATCATTGTATTATATGAAGAAATATTCGCATATTACCAGAATTTATTGGCTTTTTTACTGAATTGAGTAGATCTAGGTTATTAGAAAGAGTAGGCTAACTGTGAGCAAACTGATTTTATGTAACGAAAAGCCACTATAAAACAAAGCAAAAAAATGCATGACCTGAAGAATGTACACAGGTCCGTAGACAGCTAAACTTGATTTGCGGGGGAGGGGGCATGGATAGAAATATAGCTTTTTCTATACCTGCCTTACTAAATACTGTCAGATCAAACTGCGCTTATAAGATCTTTAAACACAATTTTTGCATTGCCCTCCCTGCCTCCAGTTTTTATGGGCCTGACGAATACCAAGGGAAACTCGTCAACGGCCTAAGTGTGTGCAGCTGCTTCGTTATTTTGCTGCATAATGAATAATTGTGAACAAACAATCACAAATATCAGCTTGATATATCCATACTTTATTCATTGCTGACCTGGTTTCCCTATTTACAATATATCCTTGTGAAAATATTTGTTGAGCAATGAATAAAGATGCCGCATTGCAGATGCCTAAATCTATCCTTCCATAATTTATAAATTTCCCACATATTGCCTTTGTTTAAATATTTTGTAATCATGATTATTCTTCGTGCCTCCCCGTATTTCTGGACCAATGTATTATAACAATTTAATCTTATTAATGTTTCTATGCTGTTCATAGCACCAACAAGTTTACTATGCCAAATTCATTTAGATCGAGATCAAAAAAGGATGCAGCAGAAAGTTAACCTTATTTATAGGGAACCAGAAATTCTAGGCTAGCAGCTGCGTTGAAAATATAAAATCATTTTTAGCGGGAGTTACAAAGGCCAATAAAAATGTGATGCAAAACATAACTATTTTGCATAAAAGAGCGGCAGCAAACGTAGAGGCATAGATATTGTTGCAGGCGTCAATAATTATAATTTACACAAAAGTAGCTAAACAAATCTCACCGTTAGATTATTCTGAACATTATAGATTTAGCTCTAATAAATAAAATAAAGCAAAGTAAAACAGATTTCGACTGTGACGAATTTTTAATAAGGGCGTATAATGGCTTAATAGCTTTTTGACAAAATAAATATCACAGAATTTATCATTGCGACCAGTGAATCATGTCTACGTAGTCTCTCAAATACCATAGATATGCCCGATAAATGCATGATAAATTTTTTAAAGAGACAAAATTTGTACATAAAGAAGAACAGAAAAAGAAAACAGCAGTGTATTAACAAAGCAAATTTGTAAAGGGTTAAACCAGACTTTTTACTTATTAATAGCGTTTCTAATAAGCTACCATTGCTAGTCACAATATCATAAGAATTAATAGGATATTGCTGTTATAGAGACTCAAATCAATACTACATCAAAGAAGTATTTTCACAATTTGCATGAACTAGTTATATTGTATGAACTAGTGCTGTTGCAGTAGCTTGTTTACTAATTATAGTTTCTATTACGTACATTAAAGATATTAAAGCTCTGAGTTTTCACTCTGAGAATGCAATGAATTAAGTAGCCCTGTACCAATATATCGATTACTATATCGATGATCTGTTCGCAACCCGTTGATAATTTTTGTCCTAAAATGCTTCTTTTCACATCTTCTAATGGTTTAATAGATTCTGGTAATAATTTATATTTCAGATCTGACACATCAACTCTATTTACAGAAAATAGTGAAAACTTTAAGTATGTACAATAACCACGGTTTTTGGGTCATGCTTAGCTAAGGGGGCAAGCTGAAATTTTTATTCTTTAATCTATAAATATTTTTTCATATAGACAATGTTACCAAAGCTGTGATAATCTTCCCTTAAAATTGATGGCTTTTTTAGTCCAGATGTTGATGACTGCTACGTCAAACAGCTCGCAAAATCTGCAAAAATGGGTTACATATCTGTTATTTACATTAAGCTGATAAAAAAAGAAACATTGTGTTTTCAAGGCATTTGGTAAAAATCTATATCAAACAAAATCAATGTGAATAACTCTTATAGACATTGTAGCATCAACATGACAATACTCCTATTTCAAATGTATTTTGTTTCTGCTTCTGAAAATTCTCAGTTGTTTAATTTCGTAGTTTTATTTCACAAGTTAACGAAACATTGTTTTACTAATTTTTTTTTATTTTTTTTAGTCCCTCTTTTCTCTGTAATTCTGTTTTTAGTTCTAATTTTTATTAAAGCGCAAGATGGGGTTTTTTTATTAAAGAAATTTTTAAAAAATGTTACCTATATACCTCTTGGGTTAAATCAAAGTACACTCATTAGCTATTTTCTAACAATTAAATCATATGTAAAAAGGTAGAAATAAAGTAGATAGAATTTTGTTGTTCAAAGGAAAGTTCAATTGAAATAAATCAAACTAAAATTGATTGAAAACACCAATGAAAACGGCTTATTGAACACAAGCATACCTCGTTTCATAACGTTCTTGATTTCTGCATCTGACAGAACAATTGACCAATAAGCAACGTCGTCGATGTGCAAACCGTAGTGTTTGCCATTCAAAGTAAAAAGCTCTTCGTCCACTCCAAGCGCCAATTTTGAGTATAATGTCGTTGAGACACTTTCACTTGTTAGTGCTCCAGATATGGCCACCTGGATTCCATTCACGTACAGCCTCAGTTGAGCATCTAATTTTAAAAAAAGAGCTACATTATGCGAAATCAAGAGATATATAACATAATACCCAGCAAAAAAGCATTCATTTCCTAATAATTATAAATCTTTTAGAAAAATCACCTATTGCTGTGTCAGATGCAAATTTCCACTGTAATTTTGAATATTTCAATCTGCTACTTTCATATCAAGGAAATATTGGCTAAATTTCTTGGTACGATATTTTATCTAAGCAAATAGATCAGATTCTGGAATAAAACCAAAATCATTATTAAAACACATGTCTTAAAGCCAGAAGTTGTACCTGTTGTTTTACAAAGAAATTAAAAAGGTTGATTATGCTTTAGGGACATAGCCGCAATCTCAATTAATGTTTGCATTGCAAAAATTAACAAAAGCATAATTTCTTTAGCTTTTAGTTCTATTTCTATGGCCTGGCTCTAGAGATTGAAATAGCACGAATATACTAATGTTCCTAAAGCTGTTATTCATTTGTCATCAAACAAACGTTAACGATTTGCTTCTATTAGCAGACAATATTTGGACTTATCTAGACAATATTCAATATTGATGATTCACTGGTCACTGTTCAACATTCAGACAGACATATTTTTAAGCAATGTCCTGATCTACTTTTTATTGATAGCTTTTTATTGATATAAACAAATCCAAAAGAATCAGCCGACAGGAAACCTGATAATTCCCACCTCCCTGAGCTCTCATTCTAACCATCGCATAAAAACGTGGTTACAAAAGTTCAAACCATGTTTTTTGTACCGCTTCAAATATTTGACTTATTCAATGGAAATGGCCCTTAAAAAAGCGCAATGTTATCATTTCTAACGTACATACCACTATCTCCATGTTCTACCATTGCAACATGTGTCCACTTCTCCAAAGCATTTCCTATGTTATATGACAGAGTTCTGTATCGATTACCAGTTATGCCTTCAGCGTAGATAGTTTTCCCGTAGTTTTTTAGCTTCATAAGAAATCCAGTATTACTGCCCGACTTGCCAGAACCAAAAACAGTCTGAGTAGCCACCGTGGCAGATATAAGTTTGATCCAAAACGAAAAAGTACTTGAACCAGTGTTAGGGTTGCTGTAAAAGATATGGCAGAAGCATATTGAAAATAAAAAATGCGCACATTCACTGAATTAGCTATTGCAAGTAGCTAGATGAAGCTATATATCAGCCTCAAACAGAGCATTGATTTTCAAAACCGATAGTACTATGAGCCAATAAATCGATGCTCGCATGAGGCACACATTAATACTAGAAGATGTTTTCCCATAGGCAAATTACCAAGCATACATGGAATATTAGTGCTTCATAGGTTAAAAAGGCCTTAAATCCTTATGAAATTGTAGTGTTGTCAATAGGTTCTTTGTAATTACATTAAATTAATGAAGAGAATACTAGTACACTTTTTTTATAAGAATACACTTTATAAGAAAACTGAGGCTCGATTTGCCCAAAAAATAAGAACAAGGCTAGAACATGCTCACCTTCAGATGAAGAATTTAAAAAAAACAATTCGCATTTTGAAATTCGCAAGTACTCAACTACTGTACCGACATTCTCTTGACAAAAAAACGTTGATGAGTTTGTCCATAGACACTAGCAATCATTGCTTTATTTTTAAACTAGATACAGTATGTAGCTTCTCAAATATTTGCAAAAAAATCACTCTTAAAAATAAAAACAATTTTAAAAACATTTGAGCCTAAAATTATCAAAAAGTTAAGAACATCATGCCTCGGCAAAAATTATCTGGTTCTTATATAAAAAAGCGTAAAGGAAATATTTTGTCAATTTGACGTTCAAATAAATTCCAGACGTACTTAAGAGGATGTGATTCGAAACTTCCAACAACAGCTGCAGGGTCGATGCCAACCAGACGAAGAACATTGCCAATCCTTCCTTCTGATGGCCCTACCATGGCATCTCTTTTTAGCGTGATAATCGAATTCCCTAGCTTATCTGCACCCCTGTCGTATGCTACTGTTTGATCAGACAGTGTGCTTTCAAAGGAAACGAAAAACGTAGGCAAAGACGGAGTATCTGCAAAAAAACTTTGATACACAATATTTTTTCTATCAATCTGAATCTGGATTTTCATCTTTATGTACAGATTTGATGTTATGTATCAGTTTTTCTATCGTTTTGGCGTTTCATTTAAAGATGATTCAGATTAAAGATTGAATGGAGGATTAATGTAAGAATTAACTGATGAATACTGAAGGTCTTCAATTATTCGTGCAAAAATGCGAAAGTCTAAATTCTTTTCAACTTTAATCCTAGGTATAATTACAATTTCTAATCGTGGATTTCTCTTCAGTTCACCATTCAATGCAAAGTTTGAGACTGACATACCTGCAACACATTTGCAAGATAATGTTTCTTCTTTCACACAATTATTTGTAGCACAGTTGCAGGGAAAGCAGAAGTTGAACTTCAGATATCGACATTTTTCTGTATCCTGGAAAAGAAAATCCTTTGCAATGGAAACAAAAATAAGATTGCGAAAGCCTATAGAGTTTTATGTACAGTTTTATTTTGTTAATTCTTTTAGGAGCGCATCTGTACTTTATTATATGTGAAAATCATAGACATTTTTCTTACTTTATTATTTTATTCACCCAGTAGGCTACTTGTCTAGATGGTTCAAAAGATTTCTAATTAGTTCATGTTCTTCGCTTGATATGTTTGTTATTATTTTTCATCTTTTGTTTTGAATTATGCGACCATTTCTTCATAATAATTGTCATCATTTTATGAAAACCTCCTGAAGACCAATGACGATTATTATCAAAACTATATTCGATCATCAAGCAGCTTTTTGCTCCCATCAAACCACGATTCAAGGCATGACATTGTTTTTTTCTCCAAAGAATGCAGTGTTGTCTTGTTTCTCAAACAGCACCAGAAAATGTTTTTGTTGATCGACAATGTAATTGCATGCCATCTTCAATATTCCTTGTAACTAGGTTGTAGCAAAATCACCATTATAATGGAAGTCACAAATCAAATAAAAACAAACACGATTCGCCGTTATATCAAAGGTTCTTTGTTGATTTGGATTCTGTCTATTGAGTTGCTACTACAAATGATCGTGAGGTGAAATATTCACGCAAAAGAAGAGTATCCAGGAGCTTTCTTTATCTCTTAATTTTAATATTTTGCTTTAAACATATAAAGCAATACTAGAATTGGTTTTTAGAACAAAGGCATAATATCCTACCCGATTTCTTTGCAATAGATATTTCTCTATATCGGTACAAATTTGTACTTTTAGATTCATCAATTGCTTCAATTGCTTAAAACCTTTAATTGACAGTCATAAACTTTTATAGAAAAATCTGTTGGTTTGCGAGTTAACTCAAAAATTACGGTTTGGAACAAATAACCTTTGCCATTCAAGAGAAAATCTCTACATAAATCGGTGCCCTCATTCTTTAGAACGTTGTGTTTTGGTTATATTCTTGTACTTATCTTCGCAAGTTTTATTCTAACTTTATTATTTTGATGAGTTTGACGAGTACCAATGGTCGCGTTGAGGCATTCTGAGGCATTGTGCACCTTTAGTCCTAATTTTGTTTAAGTAAATTATGATGAGACTTACGTTATAGATAGCAGCTTTCCATCCCGTTGCATTCGGTGCTGTTTTGCAAGAACTGTCATACCTTGAAAGCATGTAAATCTCGCAATTTTCTTCAATTCCTTTTTCCTTCCATTGATAATTGTAATTCAATAGCTCGCATTTTTCATTTTTTGCGCATCTTTGGACGCACTGGATCTCACTTGAAGCTTTCAAATTCAATCGATGCGATGCTTTGCATTCAAATTTGGAATCAATGTGAACCTCTTGTACAGTTCCTTTTGCGCTGTGAGTGATTTGAGCATTTAAAATATTCAAAGCGATGAATATGAGATAGGTCCTCCATGGCCTATGCTCGAGTAGTTCTTCCATACTTTTTTGTGGTCATGAAGGATATTATCAATTACATAACTAATTCTTTATCAGCTCTGAATGGACATCTTGCATATGCTGATTTTATTTCCGATTGTCTCAGCCACTGTTTTCTTTAGACATGCATCCACACATCTGTTTGCTTTTTGCGTAAGACCTGCACAGCACCTGCCCTTAACCCCCGGCGCTTCATCCATTGTTAAAAGTCTATAGAACTGATAAAATAATGATTAAATGCAGCTTTATTTAGAAATATGAAAGTTATTTAGTGTTTATATCACATTAAAGATTAAAACTGTAAAAATGAAGATAAAATATCAGCTTTTTATTGTAATGATGCGGAAATATTTTGACACATTTTACGTTAGATTGTACTATAAGATAGTGGCGTAGATAGAGGGAGTCAGGGGGCGAAAAACCTTCCTGTAAAGCTAAACTGCTATTTAGTCGAAAAATTTCTGATCTTGTTGGAATTTAACATGGTTGTCTATTTTGTTATCTAAATATTGAGAGGAAATATTTTCAAGCTTAATATAATAAAAGATTATCTGAATATATAAGAAGATTTATGATTCCAGTTTTGACGTCGTTAAGTTTTGTTCATATGTATAAAAAAATTAAAGTACTTATTAGTTTTATGTCGAAAAGATCTAAATTTCTCGCCCCGCTGATGACATTTACTACCAACTTCGAGCACAGCGTCTTCGGTCAGTAGAAGGGGCATAGTAATGAAAATTAAAAGGCAGTGCCATACAAATATGTGCAATGATACATAATCTCATAATTAAACCTTGCTCCTAAAGGCACAAAGATGCTGGTCAACTTGTGCTTATGAAGTTTAAGTTAAGTTACCAGCCACCTGTTTTGCGATGGCTTCAAGATATAAGAATATAGACAATTCAAGTCGATTTGTGTTGAAGGGTTAAAGCGTTAGGGGCGGATCCAAAGCTAATTTCAAGGAGGGGCAGTTGGTAGTGGGGGCGCTGAAAAATTCTGAGAAATTGGCGACGACTGTATTCTGTACACAACAATGTCAGACCCTTACTACTGACAGAAGGCTCTCCATTCACCTTGTAAGGGGATTTTCACAATATTTGTTGCATTTTTTGAGGTAATTCTTGAAGTAAATTAACCTTTAAGTCTCAGAAACCTGATTCTCATTCTTCAACAGGGGCGCACAGTTTGCGAAAAAGGGGCGCTAGACTTGCTTCAACTCGGTGAAGGAGGGGCAACTGCTGAAAAAGATGATAAAAGATGATCAAGTTTGATACGCTGAAAAAGATGCAATATAGACCCAAATAATATCTTGCCCATAAGATCTATCTTTAGACTGGGGTACTTTGGTCAAGACCCCTAATTGTCCCTTTGGTCATATACGGAGAACTCAAGGTCATAGAAAGTTGAAATTCACAATAAAAAGACAGTTTAACAAGACAAAAAAGATGTGATATAGACCCAATTCATAATTGCCCCCTAAATTCTATTTTTAGACTGGGGTACTCTGGTCCAGACCCCTAATTGTAAAATTGGCCATAAACAGAGAGTCCAGTTCATAGAAAGTTGAAATTCACAATATAAAGTTTAACGAACCGAAAAAAATGTAAAATAAACCCAAATCATATGATGCCCCCTAAATTCTATTTTTAGACTGGGGTACTCTTGTCCAGACCCCTAATTGTAAAATTGGCCATAAACAGAGAGTGCCAGTTCATAGAAAGTTGAAATTCACAATATTAAGGCAGTTTGACGAACCGAAAAAGATGTAAAATAAACCCAAATCATATGATACCCCCTAAATTCTATTTTGAGACTGGGGAACTCTGGTCCAAACCACTGGCCATAAACACTGGCAGTTTGACATGCAGAAAAAGATTGGATATCGAACCAAATCATACCTTGCCCCTAAGTTCTATTTTTAGACTGGGGTACTCTGATTCAGACCCCTAATTCTACCACTGACTATAAACGGAGAACGGAAATTCAAAATATAAAGGCAGTTTGATACACTGACAAAGATGTGATATAGTTCCTATTCATATCTTGCACTTTAAAAATAGAAAAAGGGGTAAATTTTCAGTTTGGGTCCATATCCTATCTTTTTAAGCGTATAAAACTCCCCCTTTGCGTATAAAAGTTTCATGCTTTTCTACCAAAGTGAGACTGAGGTACGATAATATCGTCAAAAAAGGTCTAGGGCAAAGTACCCCATTCTAAAAATAGTACAAGGGGGCAATTTTCAGTTGAGGTCCATATCCTATCTTTTTCAGCGTATCAAAGTGTCCATTATTGCAAAGTTTCATGCTAGTATCACAATTTGCACAATTCGACCTAATAAGTGATTTAACAGGTCTGACTAAAGGGTTTCTCCTCGACTCATCACTGTGACGTCACAATAAAAAATAAAATTTCGCAATGCAACTGCAAAATATGCATATTTTAACACTCAATAAAAAAAGAACCATTTAACTTTTTGGAATTCTGTTTTTTGCATAAGAACAATGGTGAAGGGTTCTATAGATTTCTTTTAAAATATTGGAATGGTAAATTTCGCTGCATAGGCACTTTAACGAAAAAGGCCCATGTGCTACAGACTTTAAGATAGCACGAAAAGGCGTTGCTTATACATGTATCAGTATAGGCAGAATCATTGACTTGATGTTGTATTTTGACAATGAAAATTACTCAATATAACAAAGAAAGCTTTTTGTGAAAGTTTCATGGCTAGAAACCAACTGCAACTGATCAAGAGTCCAACAATTTGAAAAAACAGTTTATAAAGAAATATAGAAAGCACCTGATGACTATAATGGCGATAAAATTGTTTGGTTTTTTTGACCTACTTAATCTTTTGTTCGAAAAATTGCCCCCAATATATACTCTTGGAGCCTAGGGCACAAGGGGGCAGGGAAAAAGGGGGTACAATTCATCCACATCTCAAAATCAGCGGTCACATTCCTTTTTACAGCCCATGGGCCATTACACCCCCTTATGATTGCTCTGAGCGTGAAGCTTGGAGTAGCAACTGAGAACCATCCTGTTCTATACACCAAATAACGCATATCCGTTTGTAATAATAAATTCTTGTGTTAAAAGCGAGTTTCGAATTGTCAAGACGAGCTTGACGAAGAAGTTATTAAAAGTAACAATTCGTTAGGAAGTTGGATTTAATTTTATTCATTGTTGTTGTTCATTCTAAGCCGAGTTCCCGAAAGACTCGGTTTTTAGCATTAGGATAACACGCTTTTGCAATGTAATACGTTGAGCAGCAAGGGATGCTGTGTACGATGCTGGATACTCTTTCATTGTTTAACAAGAGTCGAAAAGGAAACAAACCATGTTTCAAAAGTTCGTGGGGCTGAGTTTGTAATACCTTATTCAAAATTCAATTTCATAACAAATTTCTGAAAAATATTCACATTCTTAACTTCGTCGTTTTATTCCCAAGTTGCCAAAAACAATAATCTTCTAAACGTTTTTGCTTTTTTACTTCTTTTTATTTTTCGAAATTTTTTCCTAATTTTATTTTTGAATGGAGCGTAGGCTTTTCAATGAAATTTTAAAATATTTAATATCTTTGAACAAGAGGTACATGGATTAAAACTTATGATTTACCTAGCTTTTTATATATTATCCACACTAACACTTGTTTCCTAAAAAAGAAATGAAATTTTGAAAATGGGCCTAAATTCGCCATTATGACGTACTATGACGTCACAGCCACGCCAACATCCAAAACCCAATACATCAAATTTTTGATAAAGTCATGTTATTTTACTGCTCATGTTACTATATTTTTAGAAGCTTTCCTTTTCTTATAGATGGAAATGCATGAAAAAGGCTGCGGCCAAAAAGCTTTATTTGCATAAAACAACGAAGTTCATTTTCCTCGATGAGGATAAAATAATTAAAAGAATTGAGACAATTATATTTATTTATTTATTCTTGGTAACCCAAGATAATTCCATAAGCTCTTTGTTCTTGTAATATTATACATGATCTACCGGTTGAAATTTACGTAACTTTTCACTACTTTTAGTGTCATCACCTTTGAGGCATCTCCAGAAGAGAACTCCTGTTCTTGCCTGGAGTAAACTTCCCTGAACAACATTTTAAAAATTCAAACCAGGAAGAAATGGAGAAGATGAAATATTTTGTTCAAATGACATTTAAATTAATTAAAGTTGAATTGTAACTATTAATTTGATATTTATTGAAAATACAAATCAAAACGATTGGTAACTGCAGAAATACCCCCGTTGAAAACTTGTTTGATTTCTGCATCAAAATGTTTGACAAATAAACAATGTCGTCGATGTGCGAACCGTAGTGTTCACCATTCAAAGTGAAAAGCTGTTTCTCCACTCCAAATGCAAACGTTGAGTCCAGATATTGCAACCTGGACACCATTCACGTATAAACTCAGTTGAGCATCTAACTTTAAGAAAAGAGCTACATCATACCAAATTAAGATATAAAGTAGCTGCATTGTAATTTACTACATTATCGCATCTTTCCGGTCTTCCGTGTTTTTTTCAAATTTTGAGGTACCCACGACTCATTTAGATAAAAAAGTATAATAGCAAGCAAACAAAAGAAACTCTCACTTTAAATTTATTTCTCTTTCAGAAACACACGATATTTTTCTATTTCAAATATAGATCAATTGCTAGTTTTATTCTAAATATCTCACTCTGCCACTTTCTACTGAATGGCAATGGCTGAATTTCTAGGCGCGATATATTATCTAAGAGAATACACCAGATTCTAGAATAAAACAAAAGCAATTGTTCAAAACACATACCTTTTGTACCTGTAAGAATTAAAGCAGCCGAAATCTCAAATAATATTTGCATTTCAAAAATTGACAAAACCATATTTGTTTTGGTCGTTTATTTTATTTTTATAGCTTGGTTCTGGAGATTGAAATAGCATGATTATTTAAAAGAAGCGAAAGCTGTTATTTGTCTGTCATGAAACAAACTTCAATGATTTGCTTTTATTAGACTCAATGTCTGGACCTGTTCCTCATTTATTCTTATTTGTAAAGAAATGGAAAAGAACCAGTCAACAGGAATCCTTGTTATAAATGAATACGTAATCTGGTATTACTGC